TATATATATATATATATATATATATATATATATATACAGTGAAATAACAGACAAGACAAGACTAGAATACTTTTGAGTATTTACTCTTTCCTCTTTGTCTCGACATGACAGTAGTAGCAAGGGAGGGGTGAAAATAAAATGAAATAAAATCCTCCCAAAAGCTTTGATGACTGCAGCAGACAGAGGTACATGGAATGTTCTCATCCGGGTGCCCTGCTGTCAGCCGCACTGACTTCAAAGCGTGCTGATAGAGGAACTCCTCCCCAGCTGGGGTTGCTCTCAGCCCAGCTCCAGTGTCCTCCTGACCTCCCCTGTGGGATAGAGGCTTTTTTTTTTGTTTTGATAACATAAGCAAATTATTCATTCTACCACTTCTACTAATTCCTAGAGCCTGTTTCTTTTTCATGTGTACTTCAGTGGTCAGGTCTACTTTAGTTTCTGTCAATAAAAGAGCAAAGGGGGGATTTGAGCCCTTTTTCGAGTTCAAATGAGGTAGAGGGAGATGTGATTCGGAATGCAGTGGTATCAGCCAGTAACAAGGAGAGTAAAAACCATGACATTTTTACTAGATGAAAATCGTGAGGAGGTACTGGCAATAAAACGGTGCTCTGTGTCAAGTTCTCTTCACTGTAGCATGTATGTACACAGGTGGGGTGAACATGGGGCCTTTTCCACACTGAAATCACAAATATTTATCCTGGAGTACAAATAATTCCCAAATTGTATTTTATCTGCTACTTCAATAATATCTCACCATTGGATAATTGCCTCGGAGAATACATTAACAATGGTAATGTCATGGAATTGTGGGCAAGGATCAATTTTGTTTTCATACAACACAAACATACAAATCGTAATTTTCTTGATTTCTTAACAATTTGCAATGCAGTCCTTCTGTTTCCATTAGATTAACCTTATTTGCAGCCTCGTTTAAATCCAAAACACATGCTGTCTCTGCCACAAATTAATAACATCCCACGCTCCAGGTGAAAGTGTGGTTATTGCTACTAAATATTATTTTTGTTCACCCTGCTATTGGGCTCACAGCAGCTTAAATCTTAGCCACTGCAAGGTGGAAGGAAGCCGGTGCAATTATAGTCAGACCTGCAAGCCCAGCAAACTGAGTCCGCTAAAACCAGGAAACTGTTTGTCTTTGTTTTTGTGCCCATTAATAATAAACATCTCTATTTTTCTCTCTGTTTTCCAGCCTCTGGACTTTGAGTCAAAAAAATCCTACAACCTAACAGTGGTGGCGACGAACATACGTGCCGATTCGATTACGGGTGGGCCATACATGGACCAAGCCATGGTCAAAGTCATCGTTGAGGACGCAGATGAACCCCCTGTCTTCACAAAGTCTACTTATCTCTTTGACGTGCATGAAAATGCTGCAATCAACACAGTCATAGGAGCGGTAGCGGCGAGAGACCAGGACACCACACACAGCCAAGTCAGGTAAAGGCAATCATTTCTAGCCCATGTGACCTTGTCAGAAGAGGTCTGGTGCTCTGTTGTATTCCTTGGCGAAATTAGGCCAAAAAAAACCTTCATTAAACCAAGAGAAGATCAAACTCAAGCGTCTACATCAATCTAATATCCAAGTGCTCCTTCACTACTGCATCCTACCAGCCATTAAATGCTGCTGATGAAATTTGCCTGTAGAAGTGCATTTGCATTCAGACTAAATGGAGCTCTCACCTCCACAGAATTGGTTGTACTGGGAAAGAGAGAGGGAGAGAGATAGGACAATGACACAATAAGATTCCTCCCCTTCCTCTCACTGATGTATTTCACTTCTGTGACTTCCTACTTGAAAAATTACAAGGGCACCTTCAGTATAGGTTATACAGCCAATTTATCTCAGTCCAACCTAGCATTTCATTAATTCTCCAGTGACTTGCAATGTTTCAGGGACAACATGCAACAGGTTGTGTAATTACACTGGGAACTGGGAGCAGGGGAGAAATCAGAGATTGGGTTTCAACGCTGCAATCGAGTTTACACCAAGTGAGAGCTCTCGTGTGTGTGATATATTTATTCTAGAGCTGCACAATATATCAAATTGAAATCAAAATGGCTTAGTGGGATTATTACATTGCTAAGGCTGTGTTTTAATTAAATACATGCTCTGCGTGTTTCAAAGTGAAGTGTGGCACTGTGCTATTTTACACATAAGCAAGTCATGATCCTGTGTGTTTTTAGCAGCTCAGTTCACAGTAAATGCTGCTCCACATGAATCCATCTGATTTATAGTTAATATAGTCTCTCTCTCTCTCTCTCTCTCTCTCTCTCTCTCTCTCTCTCTCTCTCTCTCTCTCTCTCTCTCTCTCTCTCTCTCTCTCTCTCTCTCTCTCTCTCTCTCCTCTCTCTCTCTCTCTCTCTCTCTCTCTCTCTCTCCCCCCCTCTCTCTGTTCACTGTATGGTGAATGAAAGAGGTTTGTGTTGGTGATTGTAAAGAGTGTGAACACCCTTTTTTTCCCCAAATCATTCAGCCATTAAAAAAAGTCTTAAATGGGAATTATTTTCATGTTTAATTTTAATCATTCTTAGGCCCTGTCCACACGAATGCGGTTATTTTTTTAAACGCAGCACCATGCAGGTCACTGAAACCGATGCACTCCTCTACAAAATCACCCCAGGCATTCCAGAAATATTTGAAATAAAGCTATTCAAGTCCAATTCAAGTTTCATTTGAAAACAGAAATCCAATGTCCATGTCCTCAAATGTTGATGTCTCTCTTTTGCACAAGAGCTGTTTGTTCTACATTGTAGTGCACTTGTTTATGTCGCTTTGTAAGTCATAGTTCTTTTCTTTGGCTTTTACTTCAAAATATTACGTATAATCATTTCAGAGTGATTTAAACGAGACATCTGTGCTTAGTGATTGAAGATAAAGAATTAATTTATTAGGAAGAAAATCTGTGGCATTTGCTGTTTCAAAGGTGGAATGTTTTTTTTTGTTTGTTTTTGTTTTTTCCTTCTTTCTAATATCCTTCCTGGCTTAGAATGCATTTTCCTTGCTATCATTCGCATTTGTGCACCCATTGGTCTGACATGCAGGCTTTTCGTACACATGTTTGTGTAATTTGGAAGATGCATTACTTCTATCCTGAGGGCATTGAGTAGATTGTGTTAAGCTAAACATGACAAGGTAATTTTAAGCATTAAGGGATGAATTATCTTTTCTAATGTGATCAAATGATTTTGGGTTGTTTGACTTTTTTTTGCTGAATTTTGAACCATAAAGTGGTAAAGTTGCATGTCTTCCCAAGCGGAGCAGAAGGGTTGAAGTCATTTTAAAGGGTAAAAGCCACTTTGTAAATAAGAAACCAGATAAAATAAATAAAAAGATGACTGACTTTATCTGGCAAATAGCCCATGATGAATTTCATAGAGAAATAAGATAACCAGACCTCACTTCAAATTACAACATTTCTGCTTGAATACAGCTAATTGTGCACATCGATGTGGTTGTCACATCAATAGAAGTAATCAAGGTGAAACGGGCAAGAATAAAAAAATAAAATAAATAAAAAAAACATTTTTGGCTTTTAAAGGACTCTGGTAAAATGAAAATATCAGTTTTAATCACAGCTCGACATGGAAACAGTAATTCACAGAAACATTTTTCCACATCAGTCTGACCTCTCAGACCATTCCTACCTTCAGCCTCCCCATATCTCTCTCTCTCTCTCTCTCTCTCTGATTTCAGGATTTCTCTTGTTATTGTGAAACTGACGTGCATCAAATGGTGCCAAGCTGTGTCCACGTTCATATTAGCCCTGTTAGGAGTATTGTCTATCTGTCAAAAGAAGTGTGGGTGTAATCAGTGGGGATATTTTAACCTTCTCTGACAGAAATCCCTCTGGCTCCAGATCTTGTTGTGGCACCTGATATCTAGCATATGCTAATACATGGTGGCTGCTCTTGATGGCAATTGTGTTATACTGATGTACGCTTTACTTAGAGTAGGCAGAGTCATTTGATTTGGTTACTGCACATTTACAGGGTGCAGCCTACTGGAAAACATTTGGAACAGTAGAATAAATTGTGGTTCTGTGAAAGTCCTCTTAATTACTCTTTTACCTGACATAATAACTACATGGCAAAAGGCCTAGAGAAGATGTTCTATCCTGTGCTTTTTTAGTAAAAAAAGAAAACAGATTTTTAAATAAAAAATAGTATTATTAAAAACTAATGCCATCACATACGTCTTCTTCTTCTTCTTCTTCTTCATCTTTTTCATTAATGTAAATTAATAAAATTGTCACACTTTACATTAGTCTTCAGACTGCAGTATAATTATATAAACAAGTAGCACCGCTGAGTAATACTAATCAACAACATGCACTTCATATCAAAAATATTTGAATGTATACATTTGACAAATGTATAATAATAATAATAATAATTATTATTATTATTATTATTATTATTGTTATTATTATTATTAATGTTTGTTATTCAGAAATGTCTGTCTATGAAAAACAAGGTATTTTACTACATACTTAATCAAAATAATCTTTGAGCCATTGACATTTTGAATTATTTTATTTTATTTTTTATTTTTTTACACCCTTAAAAAAACCCATGGAATAATTAATTACAGATTTGATTGTTTGTTTCTCTTTTTTTTTTCTCCCACTTCATTCCCCACTGTAATTTTGTCAGTTTGATTGACACATAGCAGAACATTTCAGGGTCTGTCTCTCGGTGGTACGTGGAGCTGTCAGAGCCTGACTGAAATCCACTCAGCCTCCCGGAGACTGTTCCCAGGTGGGAATGCTGTCTGGCTGCCTGCACAGCAGTAGAGCACTCCTCCTGGACTTCCACCCTCAGTCTCAGAATCTCTACAATGGCTCAACATTTTCCTCACATTCACTATCCAGACCAATTAATTTTCTTTCTTTCTTTTTTATTTATTTTTTCATTTATTTTATTACTATTTTTTTTATTTAATTTACAACCCATTCCTCATCCACTGGGGCCTTCTTAAAAGTTATACCTCCTACTCATGTTTGAGAGAATGCCGAAGTAGACTTTACCCTGATCATTCAAAGATTAGTAAATTGTAGGTGCATATAAACTAGGTTGAATATAAATGTTATATTTCTGCATGAAATCTGTTTTTTTTTTTTTTGTTTGTTTGTTTTTTTGAACTATGACAAAAAGTATGTCTTCAGAAAAAAAATGATTGAAACGATTTAATCATGGCATTTAAAATGTATTTTTACAATGTTATTTTAATATGATATTTTGGGTAAATTTTTGTTGCTTTATGTCAGCCATTGACTCTAATATTCTAATATATGTTTTATTTATTTATTTATTTTTTACAGAATTTGTATTAATCCACATTAGAAACAACTGAAAATATACTTTTTTTGGACCATTTTACCTCATATACTAAATGATTTTACTCTCTCTCTCTCTCTCTCTCTCTCTCTCTCTCGCTCTCTGTTTTTCTTTTACAGGTATTTTATTGATAGACACACTGATTTAGAGAGGCAGTTTAACATCAATGTCGATGACGGGAAGATCACATTAGCTAAACCTCTGGATAGAGAGACGGATATGTGGCACAATATCACCGTGACAGCCACTGAAGTTCGTAAGTACAGTTTTCCTTTCTTCCTCTTCTTGATTGAAACATGAAATGTTTTATGTTTCAAAATGATTGTATAACAATATCAAAGAGATCATTACAGTAATGTGCAAAGAGATCATTAAAATCTGTGTAGAGGCACTTCAGACCAATAAAAATTTCACATCACAGTTAACATCTTTGTTAATTATGTAACAGGATTTACAATGGAGAAACAAATGCAGGTATATATTCAACATGTCAAAAGGCACCAAGATAAAAAGGTCAAAACCTGCGTTCTAACTGTAAATGAACCATAACAGCTAATGAAATAGAAGCTTTACCTTATACCTAGGTACTAATTTACTGTCAACAGATTTTAAGGTGCTAAAGTTTCCTCTCAGAAACCGAAGACAGAGATTTAACAGAATTAAAAAGCTCAGCAGTAAATTAGATGGACATCTAACTTCTATTCACGCCAGAGCTGTTTGCTGTACATAGCAGATAAAATAACATCTGTTGACTGGATAAAGACCTTATTAAACACAAGCTGTGGACCAGAAATAAACACTGCACAAGCCATCCATAAACCTTGAGATTAATTTTGATTGGCATGTACAGCTACATTATGCAGATACTGGAGCCAAAAATCTTTCCCTGGAGCAGGAAAAAATATACAATTAACATAAGATGTCTTTGAGCTCAAAGAGCAGAATAAACTGATTTTTTTTAAGGGCTCCTCACATAGCAACATTGCATGTGAAGTTAAGCGTGTAAAATGTTTTTGCTCAGTGTTTTAACATGATGACCAACAAATCTGGATTTTTTATTTTTTTTGGTTTTGCCTCTGGTGAAACAGTATTTAAACAGAAATATCTGTACAGCATGGCTGTGAATATGAGTCTGAGCTACTGCATTATGTTGAAATGTCTGGTCAAGGCGCATAAGCTTTTTTTTCATAAGCTTTTTTTTTTCAATCAAGGTGGGAAATTAATTGACAGGTCAAATGCATTTCAAATGCTGTTTGCTGTTCTAAGTGTCACACATTACAGCAGTATGCCCTGGATTACCAGTAAGCTGTTAAGGTACCATGTCATGTGCTAAAGCCAAACGAATAGATAATTGCTTTAAAAGTCAGCGGTTGCAACCCTAATTAAATACAATCATTTACATGGGTCCTCAAAAGGGACTGTGAATTACTGCCAATGAATAATTTCAATGAAAAGTTACTCTAATTAAATTGCCCTTTATTGTCTTCTGCCACCGTTTTATTAATATTAATTTTTTTAACCTTCATGTATAAAACATGCACTTGTACAGGGGATTTCAAAAGCACTTTGAATGTGTTTTTTTTTTCCAACCGTAATCCTGTTTTGCATAGTTGATAATGTCTAAAGCTCAGACTGATGCTGCATCTCATCTGTCTCTCAATCAACCCAGAGGATGGGAGAAAAAAAGGAGAGGAAGAGAGACAAAGAAATAGGTGTGAGGCAGAAAGAGACTGAAAATAACTGGGTCATTGTATTTACCTGGGATTTGCAATAGCTCCCTTCTATATTTGGCCGCTGTACTTCTGTTTTCAGTGTTTTAATAGCTTGTCTCTTTTCGAATTAGGAAACCACAGTCAGATTTCCAGAGCCACAGTGGCAATCAAAGTGCTGGACATAAACGACAACGCCCCTGAGTTCGCCACCGAGTACGAAGCCTTCCTTTGTGAAAACGGCAAACCTGGACAGGTAAGAGGGCATCAATCAGGCCCGCCAGCAGCATCTGCCTCTCACAGCTCCTCCATAACGATCAGCCACGGTAAATTATAGCCTACTGATTTAAGAGAGAGAAGTAAGAGACACCTGGGTGGCCTTTTTTAGCTACTCACTCTCTCTCTTCCTTTGCAGAAAATGAAAACAATCAGATCCATTCAGGCCCGGTCAGAGCCTGCATCTCTCTAGCCGACATGCAGTGTCTGTGACTAACAGTATCAGTATGTACTTCCTCATCCTCCGCCCTCTAACACAGTCACCGTAAGAACATTCTCCATCCATGTGGGGAAAAGAATGGCCTGGACGGCTGGGTCCCGCTTTTCAGCGAGCTGTAAATCATAAAGAAAAAGAACATGTCTTGAACAGGTTGTGGCAGATATATAGATGGACTTGGCACCGAAAAGTGGGCTGCCAAAGCCTGCGCCCCTTAGCTTAGGGTCTCTACTTTTATGAGTGAATTGGACAGATTTTTCATCCCGTGTTGGCTGCTGTCAGTGTCTGGCCCGATATGATGTCAAAAATAGAGTAATGGATGACTGGTCCCTCTCTTTGTGTCTGTGTCCACAGGTGATTCAAACCATCAGCGCTGTGGACAAAGACAATCCTTCCCAGGGACACACTTTCCACTACCGCCTGGAGATGCTCAACAATCCCAATTTCACCATCAAAAACAATTTAGGTAAGTTTATCTACACAAACGTTTCCCCAACACAAAATACAAAAGATTATTGGAAACTGTGTTTACCATGTCTCTGATTGTATATGTTTTGAGCTCTACTGTTGTTGTAAATCCTTTTGGTGCACTTGGTCTTATTTTTGGGACTTAATTCTTTATTAAGGCAAAAAAAAGCTTTTTATTTTATTTTATTTTTTTATTTTATTTTTTTTAATCTCTGTTATGCCTTGTTTCTACTTAGATCCTAGTATATATGTGCTGCCTTGAGATCCTGGTACCATTGTTTTGTATCGTATTGAAAATCAAAGAAAAAAAACAATTTAGGTAAGACTGACATATGACTATGAAACACAGCAGGGAAATGAGAATGAGATGAACAGAGAGAGAGAGAGAGAGAGAAAGACATCTGTAAGTGCAAATATCATGTGTCAAGCGCAGTCCGGAGGCATGCATTTGAAGGGGAAATCTGGCAGAATTAGTGTACCCAGAAGTTAGCAGATGCACAATTGTCTGGAAATCAGCTATTTTGTACTCCCCAGTGCATTTTGAAAGAAAGCAAATGAACAGAATCCAAGCCGAGGTTTAGCGATGCAACTTGATGTAGGGTGACTTACTCAAAGCTGAGGCTGTGCAGCAGATGGTTCTAAATTAGTTTGCTAAATATACTGATTTTTTTCTTTCTTTTTTGTATAACCTATCCGACCTTCTTTTACTGCGCTCCTGCTGTTCTCACTGAACAACCTAGTATTGCACTATGCTTTCGAAGACTTGAGGGAGAACTGTATTGATGTAGTTCCATTTGGCATGTGGTCTTATGGCTGACCGTTGAAGGAGCTGTTGTTTTGGCTGCTGACCAAAAAGACGAAACGTAGTATTTTTGAACCAGACGGATCATACGTTACATGAAAAGAGCTCTGCCTTCCAAGGGACAGTAATGAATTGTGTTAATATGGAAGTAAGGAACAGTGTGAAAAGGAAAGAAATTGTGGATCCCCTATAATCAGCTTTGTGGAGTGACAGAAAAGCTATATATACGAAAGGAAAACATTACATAAAATAATAAAAACATTATTATTATTATTATTATTATTATTATTATTATTTTCTAGGTTAAATAAAACAAAGATTATTTGAGTATGTATTGCAAGAATATACTATTTCAGTCTTACTGGTTAACATTTAATTTCACGTAAAAATTATGTTTAAATCAATGTGTTACTGGCTGTTTCTTTGTAATTATTTGTGAAACTTACTAGTAATTCCTGAATGAAAACTGTTTTACCACCTTTTTTTCAGTGTAGAATTAATTTGAATAAAAACATATCCTCAAAAGACTCAAAAGAAACCAAAGTAATATATATATATATATATATATATATGTGTGTGTGTGTGTGTGTGTGTGTGTGTGTATATGTTGTTGTTATTATTATTATTATTATTATTTTAAACAATTGTTATACCTAAAACTATACTTTCTTATTGTTTATAAAAAGAAACCATAGTTTCAGGTATGAAATAGGAATTTCAGAATTCAAGAACAGCACAGAATCCAAGTGTATGTTCATATACAAAACAGATTATTATGGTAATATTTAAATATTCAGTCTTCTGTTTATTTATTACATAGACAACACATATGTAAAAAAAAAATAATAATTATAATAGGGAGAAATTAATATTGTTGTTGTTGTTGTTATAAATTGCATGTGCTGGGTTGTAGTGAAGTGACCAGGTGCACAACTTTCAAATATGTCAAGCAGGAATGTACTGGCGTTTATAAAATTTAAAACATTATTTAGAAAATGTCCTTATCTATGAGATAAACATTATGTAAAAATAAAGTAAATTAAAAGTAATAAAAGTACATTTATTATAAATAAAAATCTGTTTTAAAGGTTATAAATATTGTTTAAATGTTTTCATCTTAAGCAATTGCAGTAATGCTATAGCTAGAGTTAGCATATACAGTAGATAAAGCTTGAAGGGTCTTTTTATACATTATAATAACTGTACTATTTTATTTCTGTAAATACAATGAACAAGAAACCCACAAAGAGGATCGGTATTAAAAAAAAAAAAACATTTTGAAAAGAGAAAAATAAAAAAGAAAGATGAAACAATACTGATAGGAAAAGTGTTGAACAATGGACTACTAAGACAAAGACAGACCTTGAGAATTGTAAGATGAAGCAGACAGGCGGAATGTCATTAGTGACAATCTCAGTGATATCTTGAGAGGCAGCATGTATTATGAGTCAGCCTGAGTGAGTTCAGGTTAAAGATGGCCACTCCATCACAGAGACAGGAGAAAGCTCTGTAAGGACACCAGGCTTTGATGCACAGCCTGAAGCATCTGGTTCACTAAAGCCGCTTTCTCATCTCTTCTGCTGTGCGTGTGTGTGTGTGTGTGAGAGAGAGTGTGCTTGTGTGTTTGATCGCACTTGGTATCAAAACGTGTGCCGCAATTTGACAGCATGTCCAAAGATGTGCTATATCCTATTGCTTTTCATCATAGTACTGCATGTGTTGTTACTTGTGATTCATGATTAAAAAGTGCAGTTGTGTATTGTTAGAATCCCTTAAAAAACTGTTCACTCAAATATGAAAATGCTGTTATCATTTACTCACCCTCATGTCATTGCAAACCTGTATGCCTTTCTTGACTACGTGAAACACACGAAGATATTTTGAAAAACAGTTTTTGTCCATGGAATATAAGCAATCTTTCTTGGGATTTTCAAAAAAAGCAAGTCATACAGGTCTGGAACAACATGAGGGAAATGTTATTTTAGTTTCATTGAGCTGCTATTAGAGTTTTTGTTAGTATTCTGAATTAGATTTTATTTTTATATTATCGGATCTCATGTTAATTTTAGTTAATGTTTTAGTACTTTTGTGTGTTTTTGTCATCTTGTTTTTTTTTTATATTTATTACAATTTAATTCAGTTTTTGTTTTAGTTCCTTCAGTACTACTTGTCATATATATATATTTTATAATTTTTGTAATTATTTGTGAAATTTACTAGTAATTCCTGAATGAAAACTGTTTTACAACCTTTTTTTTCAGTGTAGAATTAATTTGAATAAAAACATATCCTCAAAAGACTCAAAAGAAACCAAAGTAATATATATATATATATATATATATATGTGTGTGTG